TAAAATCTCCAGCTTTCTGAATTTACAACTTAAGCAGGTATCTCTCCAATGGTAAAGAAAAGGGAATAAATGATCTGATGTAGTGGCACTGGGACTTGCATAATCACTCAAGAGTCCAAAGCTCGGCCAGAGCCAGCAGCTTATCCTTTGCAGTCCTGTGCATTGCTTCAGAGGAAAATACCTGACCATACAGGAGAGGAAGACACTTTTCAGGAGCACTGATTCTGCTCCCCAGCTAATTCACTAGCAGTAAAACTAACATGGCTTGAAAGCAGTTTGGAGCTGCCTTTGCAGCCTCAAGTATGTAGGAAGATTCTTGAGGAATCTCTATCACTCCTTCATGCCCCATATTTCCTACCGTTTCACTGCAGTCACTTATCTGTGGCAACAGGCCTCACAGTCTGTCAGCTAGCCAGCACTGGTGCTCTTAAGCCTGTGGTTTATGAAACTGAGTGTTGGACTTTCTTAGCTAACATTTAATATGTGGTAAAACTTAGTCCCTTTTCTGGCAGGGGAAAATTGTATTTGAAGGCTTTATAATGTGCTTATTGCAGTAAATTTATTTATGCTGCCTTTTTTTCCCTTATAGCTTTTTATTTTCAGTGTTGCACACCATGTTTCATTAGGTTTAAAGAACTGTTCAACTCCAATGCTCCCATGTCCAGTCAGTGTTTTCTCTGTTCATCTGTGCATGTTTTTGTAGCTCCTTAGATCATAAGTGTTGCTCCCATTAATGGGAATCACACTTCATTTCTTTGTAATATTTTCTTTGAGGACTAAAGCTCAGGTTCACTGTAGGCAGGCTGCTTTTGTTTTCCACTTGCTATTTTGGAAAAAACCCGCATAAGTCTTTTGGTGTAACTGTGGTGGTCTGCCTGCACATCTGATCATGCATTCTGTCTTGCTTATCAAGCTCAGAGTTTTTACATGCCCAAACCCCATTTTTATTTAATCTTGCCTATGTAAAGCTGTAATTAATATAATCTTTCTTTATATATTTTCATTAAGAATTTCCCCTGTCCATAAATATTCAAACTGTTAAAGGTTTGCTAACAAAATGATTCTGATGGAGAAAAAATGGTCTTTTTTGGAAAAGCCATAGGCGACCTTTTCCACATTACACAGAATAACAGAATGTTTGAGGCTGGAGGTCATCTAGTCCAGCTCCCCTGGTCACACAGGGCCACCTAGAGCAGGCTGCCCAGGACCATATCCAGACAGCTTTTGAATGTCTCCAAGGATGGAGACTCCAAAACCTCATTGGGCAACCTGTGCCAGTGCTAGGTCACCCTCACAATATGAAAGTGTTTCCCGATGTTCAGACGGAACCTCCTGTGTTTCAGTTTGTGCCCATTGCCTCTGGTCCTGTCAGTGGGCACCACTGGAAAGAGCCTGGCTCTGTCCTCTTTGCATCCTCCCTTCAGGTATTTACACACATGGATGAGGTTCCTCTGAGCCTTCTCTTTTCCAGGTTGAAGAGTGCCAGCTCTCTCAGCCTTTCCTCATATGTGAGGTGCTCCAGTCTCTTAATTATCTTAGTGGCCTTTTGCTGGACTCTCTCCAGTGTATCCATGTCTCTTTTGTACTGAGGAGTCCAGAACTGGACACAGTACACCAGATGTGGCCTCACCGGCACTGAGGGGAAGGATCTCCTCTCTCAACCTGCTGGCAACAGCCCTCCTAATGCATCTCAGGATACCGTTAACCTTCTTTGCAGCCAAAGCACATTGCTGGCTCATGTTCAACTTGGTGTCTACCAGAACCCCCAGGTCCTTTTCTGCAAAGCTTCTTTCCAGCTGGGCGGCCCCCAGCATGTACTAGTCCCTGGGGTTGTTCCTCACCAGGTGCAGGACTTTGCACTTCTCCTTGTTGAACTTCATGAGGTTCCTGTCAGCCCATTTCTCCAGCTTGTCAAGGTCCCCCTGGATGGCAGCACAACCCTTTGATGAACCAGCCACTCCTGCCAGTTTGGTGTCATCTGCAAACTTGCTGAGGGTGCACTATGCCCCATCATCCAGATCTTTAATGAAGATGTTGAACAGGGTTGGATCTAGTACTGATCCTTGGGGTACACTGCTAGTTAATGGCCTCCACCTAGACTTCTTGCCACTGATCACCACTCTCTGGGCCCAGCCATTGAGCCATTTTTCAATCCATCTGAATGGTGGAATGGCAGCGCCTTACCCTTTTTTCTGTTTGGCAAGCATCACATCAGAACAGGCTGTGAACGGAGGTTTACAATGTAGTTTTGCAGACGTTTTGAAGACTTCCTTACTAGTATAAGGTGCAGCCTAGAAAAAGCACAGAAATAGGTATCTGAAAATATATCACAGACTGATGTGAGATGGGAACTGGAGTCTGAATGCTGAATGAGTAGCAATAGGTAAAGCATGAAGGGTCTATGAGGCCTTTGAAAATGAGAGCAAGCAGCTTCTGGCTTGGTGAAAAAGCTTCTGGCTTTTTCATGTGTATGAATTGGCAAAGACAACACTGGAAAATAAGAATCAATATATATATTGTCATTTTATTCTTAGGGTCTACAATATTTCATTAGATATTGCATTTTCTCTTAAGGTAGTCATATCTACTTTATTTGTAACTCTGCAGTTGAAATACCTTTGGATAGTGATAATTTGCTGTAATTACTCTACAAATATTTCTACTGTTAGGCATAGTTCTGAACATCTGGTAATTGGATTTTAAAATGCTCCTTCTAAAACATAAGCAAATGAGGTTAAAACTAACACAGACAGTTTTGCATATCCCAAAGCAGGTAATTGAAATTAGCAGTGACCTGAATACCTTAGTCTTGGTGACGTGCATCAAGGATTTCCAGCAGGAGTTATTTCTTTGGCAGCAGGAAGCATTGACATTGCAGCATGGAAGGGACTTCTTGTGGCATAAACCCAGAACTTTGGTAACCCAAAAAGCTGTGTATTGTTACTAAACTGAAAGTGCATTTAAAACCCCCCTCCTTTGATAGAACCACTACCACTTTTGAGAATGGCTGTGAACGAGATTATGCAACTGCTGCTGATTTAGTCAGCTCAATGACTAAGCATGCTCCATTTTTTCATAATGAAAAAACACAGAGATATATGTGCTGAGGGTTCTCAGTTGAAAGCAGGGCTAATTGGATTTGGAAATAAACCTGTTATGGCTTCCTCCCTGCTTCCACAGTTTGCTGAATTTTCTGCTGTTACTGTCAGAATGGAAAGCCAGCATTAGAAAGCCGGGGAGAGCAAGATCTTTTTCTTTTTATAGAAATTTGCAACAATATTTTCCTGTTTTTCTGTGATTAGAAGTTTGGGGGGTTTCTTGCATTTAACTGATTACTCCTTATCATGGTCTTTTGTAGTAAGTTGTCTCCTGTGTACTGAATCCATATTGAATTGTATTATTTTTATTGCAATGATTTCCTTCCCTTTTAGCCTTTATTCATTTATTTATTTATTGCTTGTTTTGATGCTAAATAACTATCCTTTCCCTTAGCTGCCTTCCAATTCAGGTCTCATTTATCTGTAGCTCTCTTCTGCTCTGAAGAATCCTTTCTTTTCTGCACAGCTTTTTTTCCCCTGTGCTCATCCTGGCCTCCCCTGTTGGTTACATTTACATTATAAATTCTATTTGCTTTAGCATATATCCAAAAGTGCAAACAGTTCTTTCATTTAGTTGAGCTCTATATTCACATTCTAAATTTTTTGCTCCTTGTGCAGTTTCTTACTCCTTTCTGACCAACCAATTTATCAGGGTAGACATCACTACAGCTTTTGATGGAGAAATATCTCTAGAGACTTCCATGCAGCGACAGAAGAGCTCACTAAAAACAGTTGCTCACAGCATTCTTGCAGGAATTGAAAAATATATTTTAGACTTTTTCATGATATGATACTCTACCCTACTCTACTGTACTATAATTGCTACCATTACCGATATGTTAAATGGATTTGGTAAACATAAGATAAATGTGTCAATTTCTACTACTGACAGAGAACAAATTTACTTCCATGACGGCTGTGAGTCAGACCTCATTGGTAGTTGTCCTGGTTTCGTCAGGGATAGAGTTAATTTTCTCCCTACTAGCTGGTACAGTGCTGTGTTTTGGATTTAGAGTGAGAACAATGTTGATAACACACCAATGTGTTAGTTGTTGCTAGGTAGCATTTACACTAGTCGAGGACTTTTCAGCTTCCCATGCTCTATGGACTGAGAAGGCTGGAGGTGCACAAGGAGCTGGGAGGGGGCACAGCCAGGACAGCTGACCCAAACTGGCCCAAGGGATATTCTATACCATGTGACGTCATGCTCAGCATATAAAGCTGGGGGAAGAAGAAGGAAGGGGGGGACATTCGGAGTGATGGCGTTTGTCTTCCCAAGTAACCATTACGCATGATGGAGCCCTGCTTTCCTGGAGATGGCTGAACACCTGCCTGCCGATGGGAAGGAGTGAATGAATTCCTTGTTTTGCTTTGCTTGCATGCGTGGCTTTTGCTTTACCTATTAAACTGTCTTCATCTCAACCCATGAGTTTTCTCACTTTTACCCTTCCGATTCTCTCCCCCATCCCACCATGGGGGAGTGAGCGAGCGGCTGTGTGGGGCTTAGTTGCCAACTGAGGTTAAACCACGACAGTAGTGATGGTACACAGTTGTTGAATTAGTTAGGCATAAAGAAATATGTGTGATCTAAGCCATGACAGGTGGTGATGGAGAGTTAGTTTTTTTCCTTACTGATGCAGATTTGTTTACACATGTAAGGATGGTGGGAGACTTTGGGGGTGGAGTTATGCTGAAATCATACGAGAACTGTATTTTATTCTGCCTTTTGTGATTTATACCAATGTGTGTAGTAGCTGCAGAAGGTGGTATTTTGGAGGTGTTGCCTATGGTTTATCATACGATTTCAGCTAGTGCAGGAAGGAATGAATAAACTGAATGACAGGTATACTGCTCCTGTCCTACTTCTGCCATTTCAAACACCTCTGTTTTTGCCTGTTTTAGACCAGCCTTGTGAAGCTGCTTTTGATGCACTGGGCAAATCCCAATCTTCTTAACTGCAATAATGAAAAACCTTCAGGTAGGTGAAAATCCATGTATATTATGTATGTACTAGTTCCTGTGACACTGTTTTCTTTCCTTCTTGCTTTCTTAGTTATACACAGACAGGCACATACATATATATGTGTATACACATAGTTTATATAGTGTGTAGTTATATACACATATGCCCGTGTGTATATATGTTTTTTCATATAATGCTGAGAACTGCTAGTCATGATCATGCAGGATGTCGTATCAAATGATAGCATGTTTTTCCACTCGTTGCATTCCCTGTTTATTTTTAGTTATGTTTCTTCCTTGTAAGTTCTTCAGTGCCTTGGTGATACCTGCATTTACACTTCCTTGGTGACTTCTCACTGAGTTCCTTTCTCTGTCTCAACTGATGATAGCACATAGCCTCATGAACTGGAATCTCTATAGCTGTTGACTGAAAACAAATTCACCATCCAGTTTTCAAGTGTAACACCTGTTGTTTCCCACAGAAGGCGGCACATTCTTAGACCAGATAGCAACAGGGAGCTGAAGCACTGGCTCTAAAAATAACAGAGTTATAGACTATACTAGGTTGGAAGGGACTTCAGATGTGGTCTAACCCAGTGATCAAAGCAGGGCTAATGCAGTAATGCTAGATAACGGTGTTGGAGAGAAGAAACATATGGTTGTTCAACCTTCTATGCCTAGGATAAAATGAAGAAGGAACCCAGTAATGTAGAAAATAGAACCTTTCTGACAGATTTCAAGGAGAAACTTCCTTTGCATAATAAACTAAGACAAGTTATGCTTCAAATAATGTGCCACCTACAAATACACTCACTGGGAACTTCGTGGCACTTAACCTCAGGGAAGTTGTTTGTGATTAGATACCTGCCAGTTTGTATTTGTATAAAAGGCTATGGACCAAACTGAGATCATCTAACAATAGAGCTAGCTAACCACATTTACTATGTATTTAATACAGTTGAGTTAGCTATATTTCTGGTCTGCAAACAAAACTGATTTCAGCACTTCTGTATGTGCAAGAGATATAAATTTAGTTTGTAGAAACGTAAAAGGTTTGAAAAGGATTTCAGTACATGTTTTCACTGAAATGGAGTTGAACAAAATTACGTTTCTTTTCCTGAAGTCCTATGAATTATTGAATAATACTTCAGTTCACTAAACAGTGAGAATGGTTTTGAGGTTTTGCAAATGACAACTTAATTCCATACTGAATTTACTTTGCCTTTTTTTTCTCAGTAATTTCAAGTATTACTTTATGATCAATATCTGAGCAATTCTTTTCATTTTATCTAGTCGGATGCTTAATCTTAATCTTAGTCTGATGTAGAGATTTGAACTGAAAGGAACTTTTCTGCACCATTTTCTTTGTCTGATATCTTGGTGTTCCAATGTCTTAGATGTTGCAGCTTCTGAGTTTATTGAGGAAATGCTTCTGAAGGCTGAAATTGTTTGGGAGGAAAAAATGAAAGACCCTTTAGCTGTTTCTACTTTATCTCAAGAAGAGCCATATGAAGAGATCATCCATGATCTGCCCACAATTTCCAATAAACTGTAAGTGTTTCTGTTGTTAAGAGTGATGCACTTAGACCAAATTATCATTTGAACTGTATTTGCCAATCTGTGAATCTTGTCTGTGTGTCTTTGGAGATATTCAAAACCCATCTGGACATGGTCCTGGGCAACCGGCTCTATGTGTCCCTGCTTAAGCAGGCAGGTTGGACAAGATGCCCTCTAGAGGTCCCTTCCAACCTCAACCATTCTGTGATTCTATGATTCTGTGCAATTTGATGGGTCAAGTAACTCTTTCATTTTGGAAATCTACTGAATCGTCTTTTGTATTTGTATCCCTCTTTTTGTCAACCTTAATTCTATATAGACTATGAGTAATAAAATACATTGTTATCATTGCCAGTAAAATTATCTGGGGTTGTCTTAGCAGAATTATTGGAGGTTAATACTGTAGACCCAAACATCCTTTTGTTAAGGTAGATGGGAATAACGTAGTAAAACTACCATTGCTTATGAAAGAAGCAGGGACAAGTCCTGAAAGTAAAAATAATATGTACAATCACAGAAAAAATGATATCGCTTCAGGCAGTTAAAAATTTGTAGTTAGATTTATACTGCTTAAAAAGGAAAGCAAAAAAGGAAGAAAACATTTATACACTTAGGGAAAACACCTTTCCTCCCCCTTTCTGAAGCTTAACTTCACTGCCAGCACCTCTTCTCTTTCCCCTTGTTATTGTTGCAAGTTACACTTAATCCCTTCAGTGAGGGATTCAGGGTTCAACAGGGCAGGGTTGCAGTTATTTCTCTCTGCTGCTCCTTCCTTCTTGCTCTTTTTCTGTGCTTTGGCATGGGTCCTCCGTAAGCTGCAGTACCTTTGGGGGTGTACCTGCTCCAGCGTAGCACCTCCAGGCGTCACAGTGCCTTCAGGGAAATACCTGCTCTGGTGTGGACCTATCCATGGGCTGCAGTTCTTCCAGGGGTGTACCTGTGCCAGCGGGGCTCCTCCATGTGCCACAGAGGAAAAGAGCAAGAAGGAAGCAGTGGCAGAGAGAAATAGCTGAAGTCCCTTTAGGGGGGGTGGTGCCTGCTCTGCCATGGAGCACCTCCTCAGTCCTCTGACCTGGTCCCTCTTTTGTTTCTCAGTCTTTTTGTTCCCTTTTCCTCTCTCCCTGTGGCATTTTCTGCCCTTTCTTAAATATGTTTTCACAGACATGCCACCAGCTTGGCCAATGGGCTCTGTGTCCTATGGTGGGTCCACTGCAGAGCTGGCTGAAACCGTGTCCAGCATGGGACAGCATGTGGCCTCTTCCCACAGAGACCCTGCTGCAGCCCCTCTGCTACCAAAACCTTGCAGCTTATGCCCAGTACAGTAATTTGCAGGAAATGCACTTTGTTTATTGCATTATATAAATTTTAACAGTATCTCATTATACAGATTTACAAATGTGTTTGTGATGTGCCATTAATTAATGCATTGCCATCTTATCTGAGTGTTTCTTACTGTTTTGCTAAAGTATTATCAGTTGTGAATAAAATGGTGGAACCTGGCCCATGAAAATGGGTGGCAGTAGAGGCCAATGAGTAGGAGCTGGTTTCGTATTGGCGACCACATTGTCATATAATCAACATTTGTCTTTCCTTTCTATTACCAGTATGAGTTTCTTTGAAGGTTGACCAAGTAAATAGCTGAAGGACAGAATTTTACTAATGTCATGAGGTTTTTTGAAGGTTAACCAATGCAGCAAACCTAAGGTCTATGCTGAAAAGCTTTGCCAGTTTTAATTCTAATGGTACAATCAGAAGAAATTCTGTTACTCCACTGGCAAAAATATCTGCACCAGAATACATTAATTGACATAGCTTATAGTTTAGGAAATTAAATTGACTGTATCTGTTTAAGGTTACTTTAGGCTTGTGGTATGGCTGCAATGATCACCACTGCGCTTCTAGTTTAGTACAGGTACTTGTAGAACTTTTCTTGATGAAATAGTCCCTAAGCACACAGATAGTGCAGTCATATAGGTAGTAATAAATACTAAAAAAATTAGGAACTTATTCTCAAAGTAATGCTAACTTAATCACATTATATATTTTCTGATACATATTTAAGTAAGTAAATATTAATTATAGTAATGGATGTGTTTCAAAATCAGCAGAAGAATGTGAAATAAAATATACATAGATGTGTTCGAGACAACAAAGCAGGAGAGGTTACATTTTTCTTAACAGAGCATTTCCATTTAACCAATTATGTAGCAACCTGCATTTCAATTATTCTAGTGGTTTCAAATACTCTTCTAGCATTCAATCTATTCTGAAGTTTCTGTTATGTAACTTCAAAAAGTTTTTTAGACTGAAATTTCAGTGATGATGCAGTTTACAGATGTTAACTGGCTTAGAAATTGTTTGGAGGATCTCAGGATTACCTGTGGAAGGATTACAGTAGCAGAAGTTCTCTCCAACAAAAGCTGTAAGATCAAAGAGCCCATGAAAATGTCATTCCAGAATCTGCCTTGATATAATGCTCTTTATAACATCTTTCTATCAAGTTATAAGCTGCAGTAGTGATTCAAATATTGATGATAAAACTGCCAGTTATTTGATTGTCAGCTCCTAGTTTTTTGTATTTCTTTTTTTCTTAAAAAACAAGGACATGCTAGAGGATGGCAACTTATAGAAAACCATCTCAGTTTATCTAAAAAAAAAAACCCTACACAAAACTTCAAATTAATTCTATATATGACAGCTTATACACCTAAAAATTAAAATTACTATTCCTCCATATAGCATGCAAGATTTTTTCTTGGTTAGGTATGCCAGTAGCAACAGTCCTACCTTGTACAAATAAGATTACCCTAGATAACTCTCCTTCCTGTCTATTATGCAACATTATTTTGGCTTAAGTCTCCCTTTGTGGTTAATTATCTATTAATTATCCATTAATTTTCATAAAAGAAGACAGTTCATGCTAATCCACTTGCATACATTAACATAAAATCTTCTTTTGCGCTGTCCTATAGTTCAATTTTCAATGGCATTTCTTGACTTCATCTTGTGACTAACAGAAATACATATGAATGTTAATAGAAATATTTTTCTAAAAAGCCACTGTTTTCTGGAAACATTGTATTTCAGTTTGCTTTATTTTTCACAGTGTCTTCTTGAACCTGAGTCATAATGAACTGTTGGAGTAATTTTAATACGTTTTTTCTTTCTTGTAATCATTCACATTTTTGTTATATGAATTATATGTCAGCATTTCCATCACGTAAAGTCCTATTAATATCTCACAAATGCACATAATTTATAGGCTATTCTGCTGTACATCAATACATGGAACATGCCTTGTTAAGTCATGTTATTATTGTCCTCTTAATTTCAAAATGCATCTGTGGAAACAGTAGGCACTCTTTTTCCCCCCACTTTGCTGTGATTTACAACCTGCTTCTCTTTTGTGACACCTGAAAAGTTTATTTGGTTGTGAGGAGTTTACAGCTGAATTTTAAGAAGCGTTTCTAACGTGTGTTCTATAGTTAACACAAAAGTGGTAAGATTAAATGGGTATGGTTCAACTTCACAGCAAAAAAAATCTGGATCTTCACAGTTTAAAAGAAACATCACATGAATAATAAAAAGTTATAAATGGCAGTGCTTTGGTTTTTAATATTTGAATTCATTTGGCTTATGCTTTTCTTTATATCTTTCTTCTCTTTGTCTGTGATTAAAGCTTCAAAATAATTCAGACCAAAGGAATTTGAGCAGTTTTGGACAATAGCAAAAGACTACTCAAAAGGAAAACTTTATGTTTAATTATGTTTTGTTCAATTCTGAGTCTGGGTAAAATGTGAATTAGTATTAGACATTTCTGCTTGTGGGTGTCACAGCTCTTTCATTTCTTCTACCGTCTAATCACTGATATCTCTTATTCTATGACATCTAATTGCCAAGTTCATGAAAAGAGTTGGCTAATGGCTTTTCTGTTCTGCAGTCCAAATCAAGAAAAAAGACAAAACCAGTTGGCTTTTGGATCTTTTGTCCATGTAACATTTGGTAAACAAATGTATGGCCAATTTATCTTAGGTCAATCAAGGCAGTAAAAAAAAAAATTATTTTCACTAGTGTTCCTCTAGACATTTTACATTGAAATGTCTGAAGCAAAACATCATTAGCAAGGAAATTGTGTATATTCATTACAAAATGTTGAAACTAATTCTTTTGATGTTTGCAGACTGAGGGTTTCATCATAACAAAGGGTTTATTCATGTATTTTTTTCTGATGGGAAACTACTTTGACTTGTTTTCCAATGAATTCTGCTTGGAAGGTGCTTTGCCTTTGCTTAGGACAGTACCTTTCTAGAACTGTCTGTGTTTCAGTTTTGTTTCCAACAGCAATGGAAATCAATGTTAGCTATGGGTCCTCCTTCATTTCATTTGAGTTAACTGTATGTATAATCCTGGCTTTATTATAATCAGTGATCAAACTCAAGTAACTTAGAGTAAAAGTGAGATTTTTTTTTAAACTAAATTTGACATCTGGGCTTTATCCCGTAGTGGAATGCACTATTCCCACATTCCCACATTGAGTCCACATTTCCTTTCAAAGAAATTATGCACACATTTTGGTAAGGAGCTGCTGTACGCTCCATGAGATTGTCTCATTTGCACTGTCAGAGCCCAGACGATTATTTTTTAAGATGTTTGTGTTCTCAGCTCCTGGAGCTGATTCCTTGCTAATTCCTCTGGAGGTAAAATCTTGGATGATTTTGGCATTGCTGTTTTTCAGATGTGTGATATGGTCTGAAGTGTCAGTGGGGAAAACATCTCCATGCCTGTAAGAACAGGTTTAACTTATATGTGAATGAAGAGTATTGTGTATCGTTACAGTAATTTCAGGAGTCTGCTGTTTGCTTGGGGTTTTTTTAGCTTATCACAAATTCAAACCAATCTTCGATATTGCCTGACTAAAAGTAAGCTAAAAAGTGGTGGAATTTAATTTTATTAACCACAATGGCAATATCTGTATTGATTTATTCTAAAACATATTATTTTTCAAAACAGTATTGAGTAGGTTAATTGTGTATTTTAAATTCAGTTTCCAAATTGGCTATTGATTTGCCAGCCTAGTGCTGTCAAAAGCAGACTCATGCATATTCTCTTTGGCTTGCTCAGTTCTGCTTCAGAACAGATATGCATAAAGGTGAATTTTAAATCAAAGTGTTTTGCTCTGTGTCTTTGGGAACAGACCAACCTATGTGAACAGTTTATTTCTCCTGGTCCTTTTGTGTACTTGGACCAGGAACTAGTGTCTCAGCCCCGAATTGTATCTTAGTTCTGTGTTTGTGCCACCCACATTTGGCAATCTTTTGTTTGTCCGACATCTTCAGGAGGAGTCTAATTGCTTTATTGATTCTCTTTGTAGCAATCCCCTGGCTTTACCAATTGCCAAGCAAGACAGTTTGCTGGAGAAAGACACCATGTTTAAAGATGCAGCTAAAGGCTTATGTAAGCAACAATCTCAAGACAGTGCATCTGAAAATGTCACTGTGAGCACTACAACCAAACTGGAACAGGTAACAGCATGCAGTTCTGGAAATGTTTGTTAGGGCTTAGGTCTGGAAATTGTAAACTTAATGAAGCGAAGACCATAGTAATTTTTTTCCCCTCAGCACAGAGCAGTATCATTTGTGCTGTGGAGCCTTGTCTCCTTGATCAATCCCTGCAATCAGTCTGGCCCTGCAAAGAGTTCCTCTCTGCAAATTGGACAGCTGCTTTCTGCCAGCTACTGGTGGCAGGTCAGGGGCTGTGGCAGTCGGAGGGCTCAGAGCTCCTCAAACTCTATTAATGGCTCACAACAGGGGAGGGACAACTATTAGCGCTGCCCAAAGTGTGCTCTTCTCTTCAACTTCGGTTCACAAAGGAAAGAAACACAGCCTGGGAGACTGCAAAAACAAAAAGAATGTCTAAGGAATATTACGGTGCAAAATAAGTGACTGCAATTTAAAGGTAGGAATTGCCAGATTTACAGCTGCAGTGTTAACTCCCTTTCTTGTGCTAATGCATTAGGATACAGGCACTGATTATTTGGATACCCTTTACAGTTTTCTCCACAGGATCACAATTTCATTCAGTGTATAGGGTGAATGCAAGAGGAGGCAATTATCTGTTGCTTGTAAATCTGGCATGTCCTAACTTTGAACGGTTAGGACTTAAATGTTTGGGTTGTTTTTTTTTTTTTTTGGTACAAGGGGTTTTATTTTCAGTCACATGTATTTGGGAATCATATATTCCAGAAGTATTTAGCCATTTAAGAAAAAAACTACTTTAGAATTGAGGGGTGGAGGGGAGAATTTCCATTTAAAATAATTTACTGTGAGTTTGAGGCATAACAAAAGAGCGAGATACTGATTCCATTTAAACCCTGTTCAGTTCAAAAAAACTGCATAACTACCTTGGCAGAATCATGCACACTCCACTGCTTTTTTTTTGAACGCATTTCAGAGGAATGTGTTAATCATATGAGATCAATCAGTGAGTTCATGTGCCAGTCATACGAGACCACCTCTGAAAGTCCTCAGCTTTGGAATCCCATAGAGCACTCATTTGCCTATTCAGTCAGAAGATACCACAAAATGTTTTGCACTTGGCTTACATCTTGTTTTCATGTCATACAATTTCTGGCCTTGCTGACTGTGTAGTGATGTGATGAAAACACAGTCAATCCAAAAGAGGAGCACTGCTGGTCAGAAAAGTAAATGCTTGCAACCTTATAAGAAGGAACCCTCCTGTAACTATAGGAAAAGAGAGGGAGGTGTTTAGCTTAGGGTCTTGCTGAGACTATCACTTGCTTCTAGATGTTCAACAGGAGCGTGGACAAGAACACATATACTTCCTTCTGCTTGATTCTGTTGTGGTACGGACATAGCTAAAATTATTCAAGTTCGTTATCTCTAGGCTAGACTTCTGCTCTCTAGTTTGTGCAGTAAAACATATGCAGAAACTGATTGGAAGAAGAACAGCTAATCTCCCAGGTGAGAAAGAGCAGCCAGAGGTTTTCATGCTGGCAGTTTTCTGCTCTCCACCATGATCTATAGTCACTTCAGGGTCACAGGGCAGATTTTCAAAACTTTATTCCTCCTACTGTTTCCAGTTGCAGTTCAGTGCAACTTTCCACACCAGTTACAATTCAAAGACAAGACAGCAGAATTAAAAGTGAATCTCTTTTAGCTCCATTAGCTGAGAAATTTCTGCAGAAAACTCTGTGAAATTCTGCTCTACACGAGCTAGAAAGAATGTGTATCTTGTGGTCTTTTAGAAGCAGTAGAAACTGCAAACCTTGCCCAATATCTACAGTTGCTGAATAAGCAATGATGCTTCCTTGGAAATGAATAAGCAGGAATAGTCCTATCTGGGAAATCAGCACTAACATGGGATAGGGTACAAACCGTGCTATTTCAGCTGTTGTGTTTTTAAATGACTGGTTGCAGTAAAAAAAAATCATAGATTAACAGAACTTTCCAGCTGGCAAGGCCTTAATAAGCTTTGGCTCTTATGGACAAAAGAGGGTAAAAAAGTTTAATCACTTCAGGAAATAGTTTAATTTTAGTAAACTAAAAGTTTCCCGTGTTATGTCAAAAGAAAAATGAGGTTTTTTCTTTTTTGAAGTGACATAATTGTGATCCTGGAAACTGGCCTTTCTGTCATAGATATTTCTTGTTTCAGCATGTTCTTGCTAATGTTTTTTGTTGTATTTATTGGCAGTCTCAGTTTTTTACAGAACATTAAGCTGCAGTGACTTAAACATATTGCTTACTATGAGTGGTGCTTTGTTTCTTCCATTCTCTTCTTTTGTGGAATAAGGAGATACCTATCACAAGCTGGCCTCTGGCCCCAAGAATCAAGAGGCAGCAAAACCTGCCATAGCTGAAGAAAAGCAATCAATCAAGACCAAAATTTCTGTGCACTTTGAATATTCTCGTTAATGTATTTTTTGTTACCCTGTGAGGATGGGGATTGTATTCTATACTACTTGCCATGCATTATGAACTGTAGGTATATTTATATCATATCCATATTTGTGTATATAATATAGAGATCTTAGTTTTCAGAGATGACATTTCCAAGTAACACATTTTTATTTTTTTTATTTCACAGTTTGGGAAGTAAAATTTTTCTTTAGTGCTGATTCTAAAGGAAAGCTTTGAACAACCCCTTCCCCCTATCCCTGCCTCTTGGGTACACTAATTCTAATGAGTTTCACTATCTTCTATTCTTACCAGTTGCATTCCAAACTACATTCAAAGTAATCATGTACTGTTTAATTTTTCAATAGGATATGTGGAGTCATTACTTGGATTTTATGTTCATCTATTATTAAAATAGATCAGCATGATATTTCCTATGCTTTCTGTCAGAAATTTCATACATTCTTAGGCAGTATGGCATGCAGATTAGGCCTTTATTGGGGGATTAGAGAGAAAAATTTCATCTTATTACATCTGAAACATGCATTTTTAATAGAGAAAGCTCGTAACTTTTTTGGCTTTGAGAAAACTAACAACTCAAATTTATATGTAGCCTCAGGTTTTTTAATTGCAAAAATAATGAAAAAGAGCCTTAACAAAATATTATTTCTCATGAAGTAAGATTTTTATTACGTGAAGCATAGGAGATGGGGATCAAATGGCTACGTTGATAAAGCATTTTGGGTCTCTCTTGGCTTGTATTAGCTTTTGCTTTTTCCTAGGTAAAAGATGTCCTTTGATCATCTGTAATGTCAAGGTCTGTGCTGCCAAACAAAGAAAGCAGTATGAATAATTTCCAGAATTTTATCATAGCTGGCAATTGCTCTTCCTCTCAGCTGGGAAGGATATTTTTCTGATAACAGATTGAAATTACTGGCCTGGAATTGAATTATGTGCTTCATGCTACAAATAAATATAGATTAAATCTTTTCTTTTTCTTAATTGGGTCTTTTTAAAAAAAATATTTTGTCTTTGGCTTATAATTCTTTCTTACATATTGTTGGCCATATGAACTGTGTGATAGAGTATACTCTGATGCCCTTTTGATTGTTCTAGTATCACCACATACACAAGGGACAACCATGTATGTCGTACTATTACACATAAGAGCTAAAATGCATACTTATTTCAGTGACACAAGTGTTTACAAAAATAAAAATCATTAGAGATTATTATCTGAGCAGATTGTGAATGCTGTTAAGTATATGTAATTTAAATGAGTAAATAGGAATCTTCATTGTTAGAATTACAAAACCCTCAAAAACCAATAACTTCCAGAGGCATATTTATATTGGAACTTATGCTGTATTTATGGCTAGGCTATTTTTCTTTTATGTCTCGTAAAATATGCATCGTGTAATCAGTATGATAGCCAGATACATGCATCAAGGCGAAAAAATAGAGAAAACTCATCTGTATGCTCAGAAAAGTAGATGAGAAGAACAGAATTTGAAGGAGCCCACAAATAAGTTATTATAATAATGTAAATAATGTTTACTACCAGGTCAAATCGGTTGTGACTTTAATGCATTTAGAGTTTCTAATTTCTGTGTGATTTATTTGCTCATTGAGCTGTGAATTTTGATGCAAAGAGTGTTAGAAAATGCTGAATCACCAAATCCTAAACTTCGTAGAAGAAAAAAGTTAATGGAAACGGATTTCAATTCCCTTACTTGGAGTTTAACTGAGCACTTCACATTTCCAACCATCTATCTATAGAGTCAGCATCTTTGGCTGTACCTAGATTATGAAATAAAAACAAGCCAGGGCCTGTTCTCTGGCCTAGGGATATGTGGGATGGGTCAGTGCCCATCCATAAGACAAAACTCTTTTCTCCCTCAAAAGATGGGGCCGTGCCCAAACAGCCTATGGGAAATGACCATTGAGGTGTGACCTGAATGATACCCAGGTATTATCCGCATGAGTGCTAACTGGCAGGAGCCAGCTACAAGGAAGTGTGCTAACAGTTCAGAAAATATGGAGAACCCCAGGGCAGTGCTCGAATCCAAACCCCTCTTTTATTTACAAATAAAGACATTTGTCTCTCTCATTAGCATAGGTTTAATCTTACAGGGAGAGATTAAGAGAAGCTCGTTCTCTGGCACAGGTGTTCTGAGTTTTGATAGCACTCAAGGGAGCTTAGTGAAATACCTGCCTTGTTGCTGCAAGCCGGGTGAGCACACTAAGGGAAGGAGGCCACAGGATTCTGTCTTTCATCTGCTTTCCCTCTACAAGAAACTTTTTAAAGTTCTTGGAATTCTTTTGTTAATTTTGTTCTACTCCAATGTGCATCATCAAAAACAAATGTCAAAATGTAATTTACTTTTTTTTTTGCCAAGTGGAATTCTTGTTTTCTAGCCAGGCTTACATCCAACTGCCATGATTAAAAACAAAAAGAGCAAGAAATGTCATCTTCTGTGTGACAGAAAAATCTGTGTTTGCTTTAATAGGGTGAAGAATGTACCTCCAGAATAAGTAGACAGAAAGACACAGACAGATGTAGCAGGCAACCTGTGTATGTTTGTCTTGTTCGAAACTTATATTCTGCT